GTAGTAACGATACTTTTATAAAAAGTTCTATAACTAGCTTTGATTGAGAAAATATTGATATGTGAACATACTTTAAAGGGCTAACTATAGTTGCGAAGCGTACGAGTCCGGACTAGTCAAAATGAGTTAGAATCAGTCAGATTTTACTGGAAATCGATCCCGTACTCGGTTCTCTGACTATTGAGAGGACAAAAAAGAGAGTAAATAGGTTCTCTCTGTATGAAGTTACCAGTTTTGGTCCGAGAATTTTTTGCTGGTAAATTCTGGTAAATGTGTCAAACGATCAGCTGTAGTGTGTTTGGCAACCAAATTGTAAACAAAAGAAAAGTGCACTCTTGCTGAAAAGTATTTACTTACTTGTTTAAGTGGATTCTATTTTTTGGAATTTTTATTTTTTGACAGTTTTACTAGTGCGAGTCCGAGGAATACGGGATTGCACCTTATAATATGAATAAGCTGCCGTAACTGACTGTCAGAAAATGAACGAAAAGTTTGTCAAATGCATAAGCAACGTAGTGTAGACATTTAGGTGGCTATATTTTACTTACATGAGTTCAGTGTTGCCACATTTCGTTAGATATAACAATAGCCACTATCAAGCAGTTTGTTGTAGATCACACAATTATAGTAACCTAGAAACGCCGAAGAACTATTCGCCTTGCGAAAATTTCAGGATAACCTGGTGTTTCTGTAAAAGGAAACGCTTGCGGCCCACTTCCCAATGTGGAACCAGAACTTCTTTTGACCTGTGTTACATGTATGTAGGACTGAATCGAAAAAGTTACCATGTTAAAAAATAAGTTACCAAATTACCAAATATGATAAATAAAGAAAAAATGGCGTGAGTACTCGGTACTCATGAAATTAGATGTGTATACATATGCGAACGGCAAAGCATAAAAGTACGTTTACATATAAATATAATCTCAATCAAAGCTCGTTAGCTGTCAAATTGGTTGTGCCATTTAAATATATTTTAACTGAATATTTTATTAAAAATACCTTTACAAAACTTATTTTCCTTACTGGCATCAATTTTTGTTTACTTTAACATTTGACATTCCTCCTCTTCTTCGCAAGTATAATCGATAAAACTGGGTTGGACACCAAAAAGTTATCGGTTTAATCTGAGATATACAACCTTATTATGTATCTCGAAGATAGGCCGCTCGAACGATTCGTCTGTAGGCGATATCCTCACGGATTGAAATTTTGTAACTCTGTCGTTCGTCTTCGTCTTGTCTTTACGTCGATTACGTTGCAATCGTTTTGGTTACATTGTATGATGTTGCCGGATGAAATTTTGATGTACTTCCAAAGAGTTTTTCTTAGATTTTTAATATTTTCAGCTTATTTCAATGCTTTTTATTTTAAATGGGCATCATCGGAATTGTTTACATTTTGGTTTTGCTTAAAGTGTTTTGGTTGTGTTGCGGTATGAAATATAAGGAAAATTAATTTTCAAAATTGTATGCTGCTATAGCGCTAATGGACGCCGAGGAATCCGAAGAAAGGGAAAGGCGGATACAGAGGAGGGGATTGCGAGACCACACCAATGTAATGGAACTACCTGAGACTGAGTAAGTTCAAGATTAGCAAATAATTTTTTGTATGCTACAATGTATTAGTTTCTAGATTTGTTGCAAATTTCCGAATCAATAAAGAAATATTCGAATACATATTAAACGAATTAAAAGAGCACATGGCTCCATCACATAGAAGCACCCACCTATCACACCAGCTAAAACTCGCGACTTTTTTAAGATTTCTCGCCACCGGCAGTTACCAAAAATCTGTTGGCAACGAAAATATTTCGTCGATGGGGCAGCCAACGTGATCAGGGAATGCCTAAATATTTTTGAGGACCATTTTTGCCAGAAATGGGTGAATGCAGTTAAGGAATATTTCTTTGAGAAATACGGAATACCCGGGGTTATTAGTTGTGTTGATGGAACACACGTTCGTATTAAGTCGCCAGGAAGTGACAACCACCATTTATACCTCAACCGCAAGGTTTTTTACAGTCTTAATGTAATGGCGGTAGGTTAATGATTTAATATCTTTATCGACTTACATACTACCAACACACGAACGAAACGCCTGGCAGACAAAACGATCGTTCGCTTCGGGATACATGATTGGCTGATATTTAATTATAATTTTGCATGGCTAATCTCTTTTTCTAATAACAGATTAGGGAGTCAAGCTCGAAAATTAGGATAACATTTTTATATATAAAGGCGATTCAGTTACACACATAAAAATGTGGGTTAGGTTAGAAATTAAACATTAATTTCACTTAATTTTATTCATTTTGCTGATTTAATTTTTTTATTCATTTTCATTTTTAATTCTTTTAATACATGAAATTATCGGTATGATTGATAAAATATACTTGTATATAACTACTTGTGACTCAAGGGCGTTAAAATATCTTGGAAACACCGCATATAGGTAGATTTTCAAGTTTTATGCGGCAAAAAATATTTTATTGCCTCTATCTACTCAAAATTGTTTATCAAATGTAAAATTGAAATAATTTGTATTACAGATAGGTTATATTAATAAATTATATATATTAGCCAATAATTTTCTATTTAAATATATTGACTACCTTTATTTATAAAATGTGTGTACACTATCATTGGTTAATTAGTTTTCGCTTTCAGAATCTTAGCTGGCCTCAAACTATTCCTTTGTCACATCTTTGACAACGGATGTAGAGGGTAACAGCAGCTTTGTTGTGTCTGGGGAAAACGATTTGATATTTTTTTCTTTTTTTGGTCATGAACCGAAATACTGCTTAAAAACGAGTCCGAGCTCATCAACAGCCGGTTATATATGTCACGGTTACATTCTACTCGAGAAAACTTCCGGGAATAATTTTCTCAGTAGTGTTTGTTGTGGGCCTCTTGAGCCTCCCCGATAATTGTCCTATTGTTAATAAGGAATTAGTATCTTGTGCATTGTGGGTGTCATAGGATGCCATGCCGTCGTCGATTCGCCACTTCTCGCTCGCTATGTTTGAGTTCCGGTCGCTTAACGAAAAATTTTGCATGTGAAAGCAAAAACAAAGTTAGCTAGCACGGATAGACGATAGCAAGTTTGGTTGTACCTCATTGAGTTCTTTCGTTTCGCCACTTGCTAACTGTGGCGAATCGATGACGGCTAATAATCAATTGTAGCGCATTTCCTCTTACTATGCATATGCCTAAATGTATGCAACCATTTGGCAAGCGAACACAGGGTGCTTCTAATGAAAATAAAAATTGTATGCTGAAATACACATGCTAAGCCCTTCGAAATTTTGTGCTGGGATATGCGTTAAAACTTCGCAAATTTTACCCCTACCGAAACCAAAGATGTATACACATCAAAAAATTACCAATTTCGGTAAACAAATGGCAATGCGGCAACACTGCATGTGTTACATATGTACATACATACGTAAGAGGACAAACAGCTGATTCCGCACGGAAGGTGCGATCAGTTTCGCTCTTTCCTTAAGCAAATGACGTTTGGCGAAACTGGACGAAACTTGATGTTAAGCACATTATAGTGTCAGAATAAGATTTATGTGTATTCGCACGTTTGTATACGCTTGCTTATTCATATTATAGTTAGCCCTTAAGGCTTTTTGCACATTGGTCGTTCAATCATACTTGTTTCATCGTCACAATCATGATGCAACGATTACATGACGACTACACTTTCGCACACTCGGGCGTGATGTTTCAATTCATTTGGCGTCTAAAAATTCACCTGGAGCATGCAATTTGTAAAATATAGACTGTCTAGATATCATTTTTCAGTAATATCTCTTCTTTTCTTTTCCTGAAATGTGTTTTGTGCATGTACACAAAGACTTTTTACAATTTCGTCATATTTTATAGTTAAAACGCTCACATTTATTGAATTTTAATACAATTATCCACTTTTTAATAATTTCCACAGATTTTATGCAAAAAATACTATTTTTTATGCAATTTTAGTGCAAATATTAACTTTTTCACTAATTTTCCCCATAAAATGTAAACAAACAATACGTGCACAACGATTAGCAAACGACAGTGCCGTACATATCCGTTTCTGCATTTTCTACGATTTGCCGATAATTAGCCGATAACGACAAGTGTGCAAATCTCCTTTGAAATGCATGTGATCGGCTTAAAATTTCAGGGCGAGACGATAACGCAACTGTGATTGGACGGCAAGTGTGCAGATAGCCTAAGTTGAATGCTAAAATTCCTGCCCTGCGCAATGACACACAGTTTTACGCAGTTAACAGTTTTTGAAATGTTTGAGGAAAATAAGACAATTTTGATCAAAATGAATGGACATTTGCTTATTATTGCTCCAAATTATATATTTACAATTTGCTAATCAATACCAAAGTAAAATAAAAAAAAAATAAAATCCTTAAGTGTTATTTTTTGGGAGAACCATTTTTTAGGATAAGATACTTGTACAGAAAAATAAAGGAGGGAAAAAATTTAAATATCAGCAAAAATGTAAATAAAGTTATAACCTAAATTAATGCTTTATCATGTAAATTGGTTCGTTTAGAATAAAATGACTTAGGAAAATAAAGCATTATTTATTACCATCTATAGCTAAAAACTAATAAAGTTGTTAAAACTGAATTTAATTTATTTTCTCAACTCAGTAGATTGATATTCTTCAAAGGATATTTAAACGCTTAATAAAACTTTTTAAATTTGTTCATCGATCACGTCAAATTGGCATATTTTATATGTGCATTATTCTCTTCTAATAAATCCCAAATATTTTATAAAAAAAACCCCATGCCCAAAAAATTACAACGTGACAAAGCTATGCTTAATGTTTTCATGTGGAGAAATGTCAAAAATCTGCTTTATAATCAAAAAATAGTAGTAATGAAACTACATTCTTTTTTGTATCATGTTTATTGTATAATAGAACGTTGTTTTTTTACTTGTTAGCTTCTAGGTAACTTTTTTATAAACTATTCATAATTTCTTTTTGTGTCTGGCAACCGTGGAGACAAATAGAAGCTATCGGTACTATCGATAGTGCCATCGAATCTCTAACTTATATTTATTCGTCTCGTTTTATCCCTTCTAATAGCTGCATTAAGTAATAATTGTTGACGAAGTATCTCTTATTTAATAATACAAAATCTCTTTAAAGGTTTTCGTAGTATTTGCAAAATGGTGGATACTAAATTGGAGGCGGTACCTAGCGTAGACATTGGGGTAGGAATATTTAAATATGTACTCATAAAAGTGTACGGGAAGGACGAATCATACCAAAAAATCATTGTACGAGGCTATGCAGACTGTCAATGGCATTGTAAGAACTTCAATCGGTTAAGCAGTGTTAGCATTGTTCTCATATATAACATATATGATTGTTCTACTTTATAGTTATATGTAACATATATGATTGTTCTACTTTTTGTTGAATGCGAGAGTTGAATAGTAGGGAAATGTATTTGTACAACGATTTGTGTGGCGGAGGAACCGTGGCGGGTGGGTTTAGGGAACACATCAAGATAACCAACCGTTCAGCTATAGAAAAACTAAAAATGCAGACCGATAGTACTTTTTACGCTGATTTCAACTATATAAATATTTGCCGCGATTAAAAAGTAAAGAAGATGTAAAAGGTTAAAAAAATTTTTGTGATATTTTAAAATAATTATATTTTATAAACTACGTAACCGATTAAAAAAGTAATGATATCAAAATAAAGGCAATTAATCCATCTTTAAGTTCATATATAAAATGCGTTTGCTTGCTTATATATTTAAGCCAAAAATATTAAAAAACAAATAAAATGTTATAATTTTTCATAAAATAACCTTTTTTAGAAAAAAGTGCATAATCAATGCTAAAGACATATATATTATTTAGAAAGTGCAAGTTCTTACCTTTAATTTGATATGCATATTTTATTATGATCTACTTTTGAGGTTTAAGAATTTAGTGATACAAAAAATTAAAAGCATTTACAAGCAAAAGTGACAAATGTGGGTGATATCATAGTTTCTTTTGCCCAGAACTTCTTTCTGCGTAGGCGGCCTTCGGCCGCACTTAGTGATTATAACCCTCACTAAGTAGAATTCTCCTTTCTGTGTTGCTGAAGAAGTGAGGCTGAACACCTTTTGCAGAGAACACCTTTCTGCGTAGGCGGCCTTCGGCCGCACTTAGTGATTATAACCCTCACTAAGTAGAATTCTCCTTTCCGTGTTGCTGAAGAAGTGAGGCTGAACACCTTTTACAGAGAACACCTTTCTGCGTAGGCGGCCTTTGGCCGCACTTAGTGATTATAACCCTCACTAAGTAGAATTCTCCTTTCTGTGTTGCCATGAAAGGCGGGGGGGGGGGGGGGGGGGGG